GAGATTTTTCTAAGACTGACATGTCCCAATCTTCTGTGCCATACCCATTGCTCATTGCTAACAGACAAAAGGCATTTTATGTTTTGAGATTTAAGATCTGATAAATCAATTTTGTAAATGCTGTTTTTTCTCTTACCAAAAAAGAGGATTGATCCATCCTTTTGATTTACAGCTTTACAGGAGTTTTGATTGAAGATAATGTCATAGCCATTGTCACTTAATTGACTTTTAGACAATAGATTATGAGCTAATCCTTCTACTAATAAAACATTAGAGATAGAAGAAAAGTTACCGTTTCCTATGGTTCCAGAACCAATAATCTTCCCTTTTTGATTACCTCCAAACTTCACATCTCCTCCAGCTTTAAGTTCCAGGCTTTGGAACATAGACCTTTTTCCCGTCATGTGTCGTGAGCATCCAGAGTCCAGGTACCATGACTGGTGTTTCAATTGAGCTGTTAAGGACATCTGCAACAAATATTATTTTATCCTTAGGTACCCATATCTTTTTGGGTCCTTTTGGGTTAGCATAAGAGTTTCCAGAATGTGATGTATATTTTATAGCATGTGAATGTCCAAACTTGAATTGCTTATTCAGAGGTTTGTAAGTGAAGGTCATTTTAGCAACAGGTTTTGGAATGTATGTTTCCTTCCATTTGGGAGGTTCATATCCAATTCCTCTTCTGTTTTTCCCACTAACTCCATAAATCATTGAAGCCATTTTGCTTCTGTCTATGCTTTTAGCAAGAAAAGTTTGAAAGTTATAGTTATATTCTTTCAGAATATCTTTTGAACTAGATACAGACTCTGAACTAAAATTCTTTTGAACAATTTGAATTTCTTTTTTAAGTTTAAGATTGTTTTCTAAAAGTTCAGATTTTTCTGTTTCAAGTTTCTTAAAATCAGATGCGAGACTCTTCTTGAGTTTCTTGTATTTGATTTTGAGCTTACTGTAGTTTTCCAGAAGTTCTGATAAACTATCAGCAAGTTCTTCTCTAGAAAATTCAGAAAATACCTCTCTTTGTTCTGACTCACAGTCTGAGTCATCTTCTGTGATAGCCATTAAAGCTAGGTTGGCATTTTCATCTTCAGAACCAGATTCATCTTCAGAAGAATCTGAGTCATCCCAGGTTGCCATCATTCCTTTATTCTTTCCAAATCTCTTCTTTGGTCTTTCTTTTTGAAGCTTTGGACATTAACTTTTGAAGTGACCAGGTTCTTTGCATTCATAACAGATGATCTCTCTTCTGTTTGACTTTTTATGTCCAGAAGATTCTGGTTTATCTTCTGACGTTCCTGAACTTCTTTTGTCTGTGCTTCCACAGATGATTGATCCTTTTGGAGATCAAAGATAGTTCGTCTTCTTCTGAAGCTGATTCTTTAGAGTTTTCTTCTTCAGCCTGAAAAGCGTTAGTATCAAATTTCTTAATTGATTTAAGGGCTAGAGACTTACCTTTCTTCTGAGGCTCATGTTCATCCAGTTCAATCTCATGACTCCTAAGAGCGCCGATGAGTTCTTCTAAAGACACATTGTTCAGATCTTTTGACACCTTGAATGCAGTGACCATTGGTGTCCATCTTCTGGGTAAGCTTCTGATGATCTTTTTCACGTGATCTGCTTTGGTATACCCTTTGTTCAAAACTCTCAGACTAGCGATCAGAGTCTGAAACCTAGAGAACATTGCTTCTATAGACTCACTTTCCTCAACTTTGAAGGCTTCATACTTTTGAACTAAAGCCAGATCTTTAGACTCCTTAACTTGGGCGTTTCCTTCATGAGTCATTTTGAGAGACTCAAACATATCATGCGTTGTATCTCTATTAGTGATTTTTTCATATTCTACTTTAGAGATAGCATTTAAAAAAATATTTCTAGCTCTGTGATGATTTTTAAAATCAGCTTTTTGTTGTCTATCCATATTTTTTCTAACCACTTTGTTTCCTTCTGAATCTGTAGGGTGTTTGTAACCATCCAAGACTATATCCCAAAGATCACTATCATGACCTAGAAAGAAACTTTCTAGCCTATCTTTCCAGTACTCAAAATCTTCTCCATCAAACATTGGAGGTTTGTTATAACTATTATTGTTTTGTTCAGCGGCCATTGTGTTTTCTTCTGGATCTTTTTCTGACACGGTTAAGTGTTGAGCTCAGAGTCAAGCTCTGATACCAATTGAAGGGGTAAGAAAACACTTAGAAGGGGGGGTTGAATAAGTGACTCTTTTCGTTCTTTCAAAACAAAGCTCAAAACAGTAATGGAATAACACAGTTATTTTTATCCTGGTTCGTTTGAACTCAAACTACTCCAGTCCACCCGCCAAGGTGATTTCGCCTTTCTCAACAAGGACTTAATCCACTATAATCAACTGATTACAATCACACAATAACTGTTATGACTAACAATGCACAAGTAAACTTACAAGTGACTAACACCACTAAGACTTAATTTTAGTCCTGGTCTTCTTGAGAAATCTGACCAAACTTGGTCTCTCAAGGAACAAATACAGAGGTATAATCTTTACAGATAATTGAAATAGAGTTTGCTTCTAATCAAGCTATATCACAACTGTGATTTTTCTTAGAATGTAATACACAATAATGTAAGAATTATGAGTTTGTAAGCTTTTGAATATTTCACGTAGTTTCTTGTTTGAACAAATCTTTCTCTCTTTTTAGCTTGCAATAAATGTCCTTCTACTTATAGTAGGAGAAAATAAGACCGTTGCTGCCTTCAGAGGAAATGGAGAGCATTAAATGCTTTGTGTGTATCCTTGCGAAATTCCATTCTCCAAGAAACTAGTTGTAGGCACTTGAGTGTTTTCAGCCGTCTTTGCATTAATTAGCAAACGTCAGAATGTAAGAACGCGTTTCCTTTGCTTTGACAAGACACGTTGATTAAGACGTTGTTTCAGTATTTGCTTTAACTCAGAACATGCTTTATTCAACTTCTAGTCAGAGCGTTGCTTGCTAAGATCTTTGAACAACGCTTGCTTTCAAGTTATCTTCAGAATCAAGAAGCCTGCTAGAAGTTAGAAGATACATTTAACAAATGAGTGTTCTTACCAGAGTCATCAGATGCGTTTGAATAAAAGGTTCTTATGTCAAAGAACTTCTTCATAATCTTTGCTTAGCACTTTGGAATGTTTCTTGTCAGAACATTAACTAAGACATTCAAAAACACATTCATTAGAGCATAAATTATCTTAAATATAATTTAGTTATCATCAAAACACTTGGGATAGGTCAGAACTTAATCTTGTTCTTTCACATATGTCCACGTTTTCCTTTTGATTTGTTTTTTAGCCAATGGAAGCATTCCATTGCTACCAACATGTTATTCGTGATCAAACGACCCTGAATATAGGCATTATGCTCTTCATCTACAATTTCCGGGAGGGTCCTCTTAAGCCTATTCGCTATAGTCTTTGTCATTAATTTCATCACAATATTACAGAGACTAATTGACCTGAAATCCTTAGGAGAAGAAGGATTCTTACCCTTTAGAATAAGCGCTATATGAGTGGAATTAATTGTACCAGGATCTCTGCCATTGTTCAAAATTTCCAGAACTAAATTACTCGCATCAAGACCTATGACCTCCCAATACTTCTGATAGAAAAGAACCGGTATGCCTTCGGGGCCTAGAGCTTTCAAAGAGAGTATTTGAAAAAGAAATTCTTTTACTTTCTGAACCGTGAATCCCCATACCACCTAACATGATCAGGTTTCAGTCTTCTGCTAACCACACTACAAACCTCTTCGATAGAACTTGGATTGGAGGACATAAAAGATTTTCACAATCATAATTGTACTTTACTTTAATTAAATCATGTAAAATAAAAATAAAATTGATAAAACCATCATTTTCCAAAAAAAAAATATCTAAAAAGAGTTATTTTCTTAAAATAAACGATCAAGTTAATTACCTTACACAAATTTAAAATATTGTATGAATAAAATAGAAATAATGGTTATTTCTTGAATTGAAAGACTAGTGTTTTTTTATCATAAATTATATTTGCTGTAAATTATATATTGTTTAATAATTTCATTTATAAATTAAGAAATATTATTAATATTATATAAAAAAAGAAAAATTATGAATTTTTTAGTATAAATTTATCATTTATTAAATGAATGAAAAAACTAAATTAAAAGAATTGAAAAACTATGTAATAATAAATAGTAAAATGTCTAATAGTAAAAATAAATAAATATTACTACTGTATGTTATTGATATCACTTTTATATTATCTTAGAATAAAATATTATATATTTTCTTAAATATAAGGGACAAATTTAATATAACAAAATTATATATTAAAATTAAAATTTTAAAATTAATTTTAATTGAAAAACAATTATAAAACAATTAATACTATATAAAAAATACTGTTGATTTGTTTTACATGGATTAGAAACGTGGTTGAATTATCTTATCTAAATTTATTGGCCAACATGAATTTTATGAAATTGTTTATGAAAACTTATTTATATAGTTTATAATTCTTTTTTACAAAGTTTTATTTATTTATTTAGATTTTTAAATATCTTATAAAAATTTAATGTTGTTTATTATTTATTGAAAAAATTCTATAAACTTACATATCTATAAATATTTAAGTATATATACTATAAGTTTTTTATTCAATCGGATCTAGGTATTTTATAACATAAAGATAAAACATATTTATTTATTATTCAATTCAAATTAATTGAACCTTGACTAAAAAGTTTAACCGATTAAAACCATTTTTGATAACATCAAATACAGGGTTATATCCGTAATTTACATAATTTTCGCTCTTATCCACTCCAAAATGCACAACTCTCCAAAGCCAAAAGAATACAAAACCCAAACCCTTTTATTTTTTCAAAAAACACATAAACTAAAGTGAGCAGTAACCTTTATAAAAAGCACATGAAATGAAAATTTGTTGTTACAAAAACCAAACCCAACCAAAACAAAACAAATCACATAACAAACACACAAAAATTGTCATGGCAACAAAAACTAATCGCCATAACAACATTAGAAGATCAAACTACAACAATTTCCTTCCATCCACATACACAAACTCCATCAACGAGTCACCACTCTTCGAGTTCGACGAGTCAGAACTTTACAACTCATCTCGCTCCAATTCCAACTCCAATAACTCATCTGAATTTTGCAAATCCGTTATTGCTTCTCGTTTTCACGCCTCTTCATCTTCTATCACTGGTCGTATCGGAGATCCGATGTCGCTGCCGGTTAATGTTCCGGATTGGTCCAAGATCCTGGGAGAAGAGAACAGACAGAACCGGAGGAGGAACTACGATGTTGACAGCGATGATGACGGAGACGATGAGAAAGTTCCGCCGCATGAGTTTCTTGCTAGAACGAGAATCGCTTCGTTTTCGGTTCATGAAGGAGTTGGTAGAACTCTCAAAGGACGCGATCTTAGTAGGGTTCGAAACGCGATTTGGGCCAAAACCGGTTTTCAGGATTGAGTTTACTTTAAACCCGATCGGATCGATAATTGGAACATTATATTGGACTCCATGAAATCATCGAAATTTGTTTTTTTTATGGAGTCCTTAATTTTGGTTTTATTTTTATTTTTAATTTTTATTATGAGTTGTTTTCGATGGAAAATATCTGAGGGTTTTGTTATTTGTGAGAGTATTAGTAGTATTAATATGATTATGATTATGATTCTTCATTAACGTTGTTGTCAACTGAGTTTGTTTTTAGTAACTTGGTTCAGTTTCCACGATTGCATCGTGTATGGTGGACTAGTTGTTGTAGAAGTAGAAGTAGTTCAATGGTTGGTTAGGTTTTGGTTTTGATTTTACATATTCTTTGGATGAGGATAAAGGTTTTGGTTTTACATATTCTTTGGATGAGGATAAATAATCGTGGTTATTTTGTTTATTATTTTGTCTTATTTTATTTTAGAAAGAGTTTTACTTTGACAACGGAATTGATCGTACTTGATTAGAATTGGGATACCATTAAGACATTCTGATTCCAAAGTGAGATTTAGAATGATGCAAGCAAGTAAGAGTGAGTAAGAAGTGATCAATACCTGACCCTCTCAAGTGAGAGGGTATTTATAGCCCCTAGCACTGGGTCAAAGTCCTCTTATTGGGCTGGGCAAGCAAGCCCAAAGTGGAGACTGTCAGGTTCTATGTGAGTAATGGGGACCAGCACGTGGTTCCTTACGTGGATGGATTCCTCTGCATGACCAGAAGGATATGGATGCGGTCTTTTCGGGGTCAAGTGAACTCCGTGATATTCGGAGGCGTTGATAGTCAGCCTTATGAGGAGGATGCTTGTGGGGTACTTATGTCCGTCGGCAGGATCCTCGCCAGTCTTGAGGCCGTCAGGGGAGGATCGACCTTGCTCGAGGAGAAGCCTGGAGGACATTCTTCGAGGTCCCTTTGACCGACGATGCTCCTCCTCGCATCTCCCTAGGTATATTCCCGTGTGGGCTATTGCTCGACACAGTCGAGGACAGGTTCAGTCAGTTGGTCTTCAACAACATTGTTGGTTTGGTCCTCATATGGAGTTGGGCCAAGAGCAGGCCCAGTACAGAACAGGAGCCCCCAAGTCGTTGCTCTTGATGAAAGAGTTATGACTTAAGTCCACTTTTGCCTTTACGAAGAGCACATAACTCATCCGTAAATCTTTTATTGTATCGATGGAAATCGTCATCGGTACGCGTGATTACTCGAGCTGAAGTCTGAATAGGCTTGATGGGGAACGTTCCAGTTGTTCCTCGAGTCGCGGGGAGAGAAAAGCTGGCAAGGTGCCGCCACGTGGTGTGACCTTTGGGACTGCAATAATGGCTTAAGGAGTAAGGGCCATTATTACTTGAGAGCGTAGATGTCGAGGAGAAGGGCTGTCAGTGGGCTGCTCGATGCGATCCTCGCATTCCACATCAGCTCTATATATAGCGCCTTAGGCCCCATTTCCTCCATTCCAATTTTTCTATTCACTTTTTTGCGCTCTCCACTCTCTCTGCTGTCAACATCGTTTGCTGCTCTTCCTAACCGTCCACACCGCAAAGTCCGACGCGAATTCTTCCATCTACTTTGTTCAAGTGTTTTCCGTAGTAATCGTTGTTTAGATTGGCTTTATTGATGATTATTTATAGAATTTTGCAACGGGGGGGGGGGGGGGGGGGGGGGGGTTCTTGCTCGGGGCGTTCATATATTCATGCGTAACGTTCACAAATAAGCTCGTGATATTCATCTGTTCCCTGCGAAATTCATGAATTCTGCGTGGGGATTAATATGCTCCCCGGTGAATTCATGAGATTTTCCGGTAAATTTATATGTTCCTCGCAGCATCCATGGATCTGTTTGCTATATTTATCCTTTGCTCGTGTTATCCCTGAAACATGCGTTTCGTTATTATCATCGCAGCGCGACCTTACAAGATTTTTATAAGTTCAACGTGCGGATTATGGGTCATGCATGATCCTCGCTGCTCGAGTCATCGTCGACCTACTCTGGATGTAGCCATCCTTTTTTCACCTGTGCTGCGATGGAGGGGTGGATGTGATTTTGCTGTCAAATTCATTGGTTTCCTCTTCTTTACAGGTGAAATGGTCGATACTCCAGAGTCGTCTAAGCATATAGATGTCTAAGAGACAAGAACTATCGAGGAAGGGCACAATATGGTCGACACGGTTGATAACCCTCTGCTGTCCTGGGTCGGGCCAGAGCCTCGAGGGATAGCTTTAGTTTATAGTTATAACAGAAGGGAAGCTTATACTATCGTCGAGCATGGCAGCGACATGGAAGGGTTTCGTCGTAACTTCACGATCTTGTGACCAACTCCCACGGCAAGGATATGCACGGAGTTCGAGGAAGATCGCTTCCTGATGTATGAGGTCGTTTTCAAGGACTTGAGGCTTCATTTTCCCTTCAATGATTTTCAGATGGTCATGCTTAACCACTTGAAACTGGCGCCCTCTCAGTTACATCCTAATGCGACCGCCTTCCTCTGGGCTTTTGAAATCACTTGTCGGTTTCTGAGGATTGGGGCGACCATTCCTCTGTTTTTCAGAGTTTTCCACCTTCAACAGTAATCTAGGTGTGGCAAACATAGTTGAGTTTCCTTGAAGCAGTCGAAGAGACTATTCAGGATGTACATGAATTCTGTCAGCGACTTCAAAGATAGATGGTACATTATGCAACCATCGTCTCAGGCGGCCGTGGATGCCGTGTTCGACCTGGTTCAAGTGGTGGATGAAGATGGGGAAGTATGCCTCGACGAGGAGGGAAATCCAGAGATCTGGCGACTTTCGACATTCTCCATCCACTGGTGCTCGGGTCACTACGAGTATAGTCCTGGCCATTACCACACACTTCCTGGAAGTATGAGTGCCGAGGATGAAAAGTCCTATGGTATCCTCACTCGATTCATTGACGGGTTCTTTCCCTCGAGGTGGGTTACAAGGGAAGGACATGACATTCTTGATAAAGATGGTGAATCGACATTCGAGGTGCGCCCGATCAATACCAAGGCGCTCGTGGAATGTCGAACCTACGGGCAGGCCGTGAACCTTCTGGGTTTCTGCTCGCGTGATTTGTTGCATTTTTACTTCTTGAGATATTTGTTTATGTCCTTCTAACGATATTAATCCGGGGATATCATTTTTGTTTTCGCATGTAACATGGCAGAGCATCGTGAACGACTGTTGAAGCTCAATCAGGAAAAGAAAAATCATAAGAGGTTGGTGAAGCCGCACCATCCCACACGCCTTGGCCTGGGTTTAGAGTCGGTCAGGGATGGTTCGAGTGGGCCATCGGGTGCTCGCGACACCATATAGCCCGCAACTGTTTCGAGCAAGAAGAGAAGGTCAGAAGATGGACATGCAAGTGAAGTCGAGGAGGGGGTGACTGCCCGGGCCTTCAACCTTCCACCTTGTTTTATTGAAAATGATTTCTTTGAGGGTTTCCCTCTGACTGTGTCCGATGCTGAGTCCGACATTATCAGACGCCTCGATGATGAGGGTCGACGGAAGCACATAGCTTCCGGGATGGTCGGTTTGATGAAGGTCATAGAGATGACCGTAGTCCTTGCTGTAACACCCCAATTCTACCCCGACAAATTATATAAATAAATCAGAGTTATAGAAATCAATCATGAAAGCGAATCGGGATGCCACAAATTCTTCTATCAAAATTCATTGCATTCATCGTGGATACATAACACTTTTAAAACATCGGATGGACCATCATCATAACATCTTTAATTAAATAATTCAACATCGACGCAGCGGAATTCTTAATAATATCTCTATCATCAGTACAACAACTTCAAACAACAAATACTTAATAATAATCAACTTAAAGTTCAACAACTGAACAATCAACAATCAAAAGCAACAAGCGTTCATCCCCCCGAGTGTTACATATCAGAGCAATGACACCGACTCGAACTACTGAAGGTATAAAACCTTCACTCTCGATTACCTGCACATTATCAATATAAAGACAACATTCAAATAGAAGGGGTGAGATATCTAACAATATAATAAAGTACATGATAATTAATATATTAAATTAGACTACATAACATCACCACTTCTCATCTCATAATCAACAATAATCACAAAAATAATACATGTTCACCACATCAAAGCACACTTTTCTATGCAATCACATAATGCGACTCAATATTATGCAAATGCATGTGGTACCATTTGGAGAAGAACTCCCATCTCAAAAATTTCCAATTAATAGAGGCATAAACAAGGCATAAGCCTTCATCTCAATATTCGCCAATACAGGCCATCTCAACGAGCATAAGCTCCATCTCAAAATGTAATGTATGCGACACAATCATGAATGTAATAACAACACCATAACTGACAACATCTCAATACAACACCATCGTTGGCCGAAGGCCTACATCTCAAAATACATCTCAACATCTCTTTATCAACATCTCATATCATTCCTAATAATTTATCAAACATCATTTATTCATCAAACACAATTTCATTAATAACATCGCATCAACAACTCAGCTGTACTTTAATACGACAATAACTCATCAATTTCACAATGTTGGCCATAGGCATATACAAGATATTAACCAACTAAGGCTTACGTCTAAATCACTAAATCTCTACATACTACTATTCTGTAATATTACATCGTTATTATTATTAATCCTACTGTTACAATTCAAACAGCAGCCTCTAAGCATCTCATCTTCATCATTCTGCATAAAAATCAACGTAACAATTAACACAGGAACTAACTCTAAATCCATAAATTGTCTACTAAGACTACACTTCATATTCCTCATTTTAATCCTCAGGAATAAAGCTCATCGCATTAGTTATCCAACGCTTCAAACGGTATTTCAAACGGCATCCTAAAACTCAAGTTACAACATTTTCAAATTGAATCTGCCAAAAACCAGACAATATGGATCGACGTAAAACGTCTTGGATCGACGCGTACTGCACTAAACTCGCAACATGAGT